AGTTATCACCGGTGGCCGGGGCGCTGCCGGGAAATGTTGGGAGGTAAACACACTTAGTGATTTCAAAGCAAAATGTGCGTCGGCTTCACCTGCAGCGCGATGAGGAATGTTTTCAAAGTGTCTGTTTTCAAAGTTGTAAGAAAATAGTCTGTGACTCACTAAGATGAGCCTTATGCAAATTAGAAAAACTTAATTAATTGCTTAATGCTTTAATGGCCTATGAAGATGGCGTTTGCAGTTAAGTTCTGTAATGTTTCCTAATCTTCGAAAGAACTGGTGGAATAGGGGGAACTGGAAAACGGGAAATGTTCCTAAGTGAAGAACAAAGTTAAATACAGGGTTTGAGAGGAAAAAAAGCAGAAGCTGGCCATTTCTGAAGTATTTTTAGTGTGACTCGATTGATGTGCTGGTACAGTTGGCACCTCAAGGCTCTTTCATTGTGACTGGTGGTTTTTTTTCTGAATAGCTAAAAGAAGTTCTGTTTCAGATTAAAGTAGCATAGAAACTTTTTCTTCCCCTGAAAAAAAAATAAAATAGTGAAAAATATTTTTTCCTGAAGTAACTCATACTTAAGCACTCAGTACTAATTTATAAAACTTTCTCAAGTCTCTCTCCCTCTCTTCAAAAGCCTTCATGCAAATCGGAATAATCCCTTGTAAAGCTAATTTTGATGCAATGCCTTTTCTTGATATCTACGCTGTCCATACTATTGGCGGGGAATGGGAGAGGTGGATGTACTTGCAGAGCTGCAGTGACACGTTTCTCAGTCAGGCACACCTAATAAAACCCTAGCAGACTGCATCCTGCAGCCCAGTCCAGGCAAGAACTCTGTGTAAGAAGACAGGGGAAGAAGATGGTGAATTTTCTCATTGTCTGCAATTTATCACCTTAAGTAGTCTAAACTGATCTAAATGGTGTCAGAGCTCAGTGTTGGTCTAAACTAGCTATATTAAGGTAATAAGCTGAGGAACAAGATGGAAAGCTTGGTTCTAACAAGCTGTCTAACAAGACAGTTACTGGTACATAAAGAAATAGAGCACACTCTCTCTGCTATCATAGAATTGTGGCTGGGATGAATCTTCTGCACTTTTGCAAACCATTAAAGCAGGATTACTTTCAAGCACCCAGAGATGGTCTGTCTATATATGAGGTTTATAATGGTCCACAACTCGTTGATGAACTGATGCATCACACCTCTGCTGCATCTTCAGTAGCTGACACTTCACGTACCTGATGCCCTTCATCTTGTCTGAGGTTTTAATATTGTTGTAAAAGAAGGAAGAGGAGGAAGTAGCTCTGTTTTCCTGTATTAACTTGAAATATTAGAAGCTATTTTTTTTCTCCTCCTCATGGCCAATTCACCCTAGTTGTGTAAGGAATGTAGGAGCACATGTTTCTCAAATGTGAGTGCTTCTCAGCACGTGCTATGGAAGTGCATGCATGCTTTGATTTGAGCATGTTGAAATACATCCTTAAACAAAAACCTGGATATCTGGCTACATGATCTTACTGCGGCATCAGCATTTTAAAACCTTAAGGCAGGACTTTCCATGAGTAGATATTCATAAATTTAGAGATGTGCAAATATAGGAAGAGATCAGCGCAACATGGCGGCAGCCTTTTCCTCCTCCTTTGAAACAGCTGAATACCCCCTCGTGCTGTGTGACTTGTTAACAGTGTAGTTGACTTCCTAATATAGCTCTGTCAGTATTGAAGACACATAGGTGGTTCAGAGTGTGTACTGAACGTTACATGAACTAAACAGTTACGTTAAAAACATACCTTTCTCCATATGCTAAGATGCAATGCCAAGAAGTATCCTTGCTGAACATAGTTTCAACTGTAGTAATTACAGTTCACATTTTTTTAAAGACAGCTTTCTTAAAATTTCTGCTCTGTAGCAGCAAAAATAAAAGAAGCACTGCTGTTGAGTCAGTGTCTGAGAGCAGATATTTTGATTTTTTTTTTTTAAGTGTAGACCTGAAAAACTAGATATTATGTGGCTTTGCTAAACTCAGCTATTCTTCATGGGTATATTTGAGCCTACCAGACCTAGTTTTTTGTTGTGTCAGTAAATCTTATGTCAGATCTGAATTCTCAACGTATTCTATTTGTTAAGTTTATTGCAACAATAAGAAACATAAGTGTTCTTACATGCCTCTCATCTAACATGTTGTGGTATGTAAATTGTTTGCAGTTAAGTTACTCAATTAACTTCAATATCAGTCAGATAGGAATGCTGGAACTCCATGGAATTCTGGTATTAATTTTTCTGTAGTGTTTCTTATAAGGTATGCACAGTATTATACAAATATTCCCTCAGAGTTCATTATGTGTTCTAACTGCTTCCATATAGTCAGAAAAAATTAATTCTGAAGCTTGGTTATTTATTGTGAGTGGTGCATACAAATAATTTGGTACTTTGAATTGTTTTGTAAAGTGTGAAGTGAATACATGAGCAATAGCCATGCTGCCATGGCAGGCTCTAGTGTGATTTCAGCCTAAACTTCAGGGAAAAAAATTATGCTGTAAATATATACAGAAATAGATTCACTCATGATCGGGGAGAGTAGGCAACAGGAAGTTAGCAACTCAAAAGATACAGCTCTAAACTTGCAGGCTCTTTTGTGCTTCAACTTCCTTAGACTATTAGCCTATGATTCCTGGTATTTGAATAATTTCTAGCTACTGTATATGACTGTGTCATAGCATCTTTTCAGACTGGCTGCATTTTTTTTATTATGACCACAAACCTTAATAATGATGCTCTGCTCATAGCTGCCTTCAGCTGTGTATCACAAAATCCTTTTCAAAGACATCATTTCCATCACCATTGCAGCCATGGGCAAACCAGGGCATGAACCAGAAGTGTGCCACATGCTTTCACTCTCCTAAGGTCATGCAGTTAGCAACTTCCAGATTGCAAACCGACTTTTGCAAAAGCAGAGTTTTGTGTTCGTTAATTTGCAGCAGTTCTTCCTCCCCACTCCCTAAAAGAAAAAAGTCTTAAAATCACTATCTCCAACCATAACTCCCAATTAAAAGCAAGTGGAAAAAAACAGCAATTGACTTTTTTCTGAGATTGAACAAGTGCGTCCAATTATTTGCAGTATTTTGTATTCAAATCCCTTGCTAAACAGGAGGTTTTAAGCCCTAATTCTATGAAAATCAAGAGGAGTTTCCTTAAGGCCTGAATGTCTGTTAATTGTCTATCAAATATGGAGCTGTTTATGATCTTCACTAATTTTCTATTGATAGAGACAGCTTGGCTGTAATTGCTAGGTCTTTTCTTTACCACAGGATTTTCTGGCACTGTTTCTTCTTTAAAGTAGACAGTACAAAATTCATTCCTTTGGGAGAGGAATGATATTTAGCTGTAAACTGATACCTTCTATGCATAGGATGCTTTATCATAGTTAGCATTTGCTTTTGGAGAAAAATGGGGAATATCTGAACAATAGTTCCTTTTAGTTCCTTTCAGATGTAGCAAACAGAAACTTAATCTGTTTTTTCAGGTTAAAATTTAACAGAGTTTATTGCATCGATGGACTTGAACAGGACAAAAGAACAAAAATAAACTCAAGCAGGAAAGAAACGGGAGTTTCAACGTAAGCTAAAGACTGCTCCCTGTGACAGAACTGGGCATCAAACCCACATCCACCTTCAACATCTCATCCTCTTATTAGTTATATAGACTCCAGAAGAAAGACTATGTAAATGATAGAATGATAGAAACATCTAATGGTTTGAGTTGGAAGGGACCATCTAGTTCCCATCCCTCTGCCATGGACAGGGACATCTTCCACTAGTCAACCTGCCCTGGAACACTTCCAGGGATGGGGCATCCACAAGTTCTCTGGCCAACCTGTCCAGTGCCTCACCACCCTCACAGTAAAGAATATCTTCCTAATATCCAGTCTAAACCTACTCTTTTTCACTTTGAACCCATTCCCCCTTGTCCTATCACTACATGCCCTCGTAAACACTTCCTCTCCAGCTTTCTTGTGGGCACTGTTCAGGTACTGAAAAGCTGCAATAGGGTCACCCTTGCATATCTGATATTAGGTCAGCCTTCTCCAGGCTGACCAATCCCAATGCTCTCAGCCTTTACTCAAAGGAAAGGTGTTCCAGCCCTCCGATCGTTTTCAATGATTCAAATATGAAGTTACTTGGACACTGTTCAGTGGTCTAAAAGCCCAAATAGAAACTGTTCCACATATGAGATTTTTCCAGACCAACCTCTTCTAATTGCTCATCGCTGTCTCCTCTTCACAAGTCATGGCCACTTTGCTTATGCTCTTCTACCTGATCTGGTGTTCTCCTCTTTCTAGCAAAAGTCTAATCTGCCTCCAGCCTCAGGCCCTAAGGACATAACAGCTGTGAAGGTCTTCTAGGACACCACCCATTGCCACCTCCAGCAGCCTCCTGTCTTCTCCTCACAACTTTCCACTGCACAGTAACATTCTGTGATGACAGCAGCTGTTGTGGCATTCCCATGTTTAAGCCCACCAAAATGTAGTCTGAATGCAGGGTCACATGAAATCACAGTCCAATGGTATGCAGTCTTCAAAGTTGGATTTCACAGGCACGGGGGAAAAGGAAGGTCACCAGCTATGTTTGCTGTGCTGGTGAGTACAAACAAAAGTTTTCTGTAGGATTGCTAGGTTTAGCTTGCCATACAAAGGACAGGATTGTGATTAAAAGATACAGCTGTATATTCTCTATCTCTTCTAATTTTCTGTCAGCTTAAAGAGTTCTGAATCTCTCTCATCTCTGGAATTTGGAATGGAATGAGATAGGAAATGCAAACTTCCCCAAATACCGCTGCAAAAATCCATTCTTTCACTCCCAGTGTGACTTCTCCAGTCAAATCCTCTTGCTTCTCCTTTTGACCTTGCTTCAGTGTAGCACAGCCTCCATCCCATCTATATTTGTTCTCCTTTATTCCTTTCTCTCTGCACCATTTCATTATTCCAATCCCTTTAAAGCTTCTTTTCTTCTTTTCAGCTACGTCATTCTGCCTGGACCAATCTCCAAGCTAAAAAAAAACAAACCAACAAACAAAAACCTCAAACCTGAAACATGCTACTTTTTACAAGAAAAACCAAAACAAAAAAACCATCCACAAACAAACAATAATCAAAAAACCAATTAAATAACCACATGGTATTTATTCTCACACAGAACTTCCTGCCTATAGTGCTGTTTATAGAAAAGTATGTTTGACTGTGATCTACGTGTATGTTAAACAAAAATATGGCAACGTGGACAAAATGGGAAATCTCTGTATGTAGACAGTAGTGTAAGAGTGTAGCCTCTTCACAAGATGAGCTATACTTATACAGTACCTATAGTTTCATTCTACTTGTGCTGGCAAAATTGTGCAGTCGTTGGCATAGCTTGTTCCACCACTGCTTCATATGCACACTCTTCCCAGTCAAATTAAGTCCTGTAGTGACAGCATAGTTCTGCCAAAATAACTGTCCACAGTAGGAGCATTTGTCCACTACAGCAATCACAAAGGACACCATCTTAGGCCTGCGACTGTGAGTCATTCAGCAAAAGTGAGTAATTTAGATTCGATCTAACGACTTGCCTTTTTTTTTTCAGTCAAATAATAAATGATCAATAGCTAAGCAAATAACCCAATAAATTAATTTTCTTGGCTGTGAAAAAACAACAACCCACATTTCAACAAACTTGGCATAACCATCTTTTACTGTTAGTTTATAACTATACCCCGTGCAGCTGGGCAGACTGCTAGATATTAGATCATAACATGATATTGCAGGTACCCAGTGGTATGTTGATCCCAGAACAAACCTGTCTTGTGTTTTACAGAACCATTCAAAGCCTATATACTGCACACTACATTACAATGTGATGGATGCTTTTCTTTTGGAAGGCAAATATGACAATCATAAAATGTTGCAAAAAAAGCCCTGCTGGAAAACCATATTTGTTTATCATGATGAGGAAAAAGAGTTCTCACAATAGTAGAAATTCCTGTAAATACCTCTTTATTTGAAAACAAGTACTGTTTTTAATGGCTTCCTTTCTCACCTTGGAGAATGCCTCTGCTATTTGATTGTTACAATATGACAGATAAACAATTATGGTTTTTAGAAAGCAAATATCACTGGTTTTATGTGCTCAGCAGCCAAGAGAATTGGAAAACTGATGGAAAACAGTGGCTGAAAGTGACAGTATTTTCCTATTTGGCTGCAGGGAATCATCTTAGATCTTTGGTAAACTGTAAAAGGACTTTAAATACTCTGTAAATAAGTTTGTTTTGTAGCAGTCATAATAAATGACTGAGGGCTAAAAGACACTTGAAAATTCTGTTAGCATCTTTATCCTAATCTGTTAGTGTATACATTTTGGACAGGCTCATTTTCCAGGTGTAAGCAAACCCAGATGTGCAATGCTACAGGCTTATGACATCAACATAAATTAGTACACAGTAAATACTTTAGAAAGAATTAAAATAATGCATCCCTGAAAACAGGAGTATATATTTTTCAAGCTTAATGCAAGGGCAACTGGGTGATATAGGCTATGAATGCAAGTGGCTATACCATATGGCTAAATGTTTCCTTCATTCCTCTGTCTTAAAACAGAGAAGCTACAGGCATCTCTGCAAGAAGCACAGAGGCAACAAAGCACTACTGGAGCTGTAGTTACATGGCCAATTTAACTTAGCATAAGTCTGAGCTGCTGCCAAAAGAGTAGGTCCCTTTCTTGCACCCTCCCAACATCCCTGCTTGCCGTGCACTCATCTCCGCCCTCACACTGGCACTAGAGTTCCAATGACCATGTGATGAAGCTGGATCTGATCCTGCTGATATATAAATTGGCAAAAGAAAAAAGAAATTAGTTTCCCAGCTGGAAGTTCTATGATTCATCATAGCTGGGTAAGCACCGAGGGCATTAAAGAGTGGAATTTCCTCTTTCAATGGCAGCCCGTGTGGGCTCTGTTAAAGTGACTTAGAGACCGAAGTACTTCTCCAAAGTTTTAACAACATTTGATAGGCTTCAGAACAAAACAGATCCATGAGTAGCCTCTATTAGATCCCTGTCAGTGCCACCCACACCCATGGTGGATATAATGCTTCTGTCGCTCGAGCAAAAACACTTTCAGCCCAAGTACAGCAGTGTTTGTTAGTGGTAATTTTCTGGGTCCATTCCAAATCCTGTCTTTATTCACTTCCCTGCAATGACTTTGTGCTTCCTCTTTTTGGTGAAATATAAAAACCCACTTAACTCTTTTGAATTTCTGCCCTTGCTCTCCTTCACCGACCAGGCTGTAGGGTACTAGTCCTTCAGGGAGGTACAACACTCAGTTAAACTGGAACTGTATTTCAAAGTAACATCCTGCTGCTGGAAAACCTTTCAGAAAAAATGGAGTAAGCCTTTTGAATGTGGCTTGTGTGTGGTTACTTTTTGTTTGTTTTATAATGCGTTAACTTATATCCAGAAAGCTGCTGCAAAAAGGAGATCAGTTAACTAAAAAAAAAGATTCAAAACAGAGCAGGTCAGTTACAGAACAGAAAATATACTTTTTATGTCAAAAAGTGACATGTAATATTCATATTACATATTATAATAGGTAATTGTTTTCTGTACTCTCTACAGTATCACTAATATCCAGTTGGGATAAAGGGGGATCTGGATAAGGGCAAAGAGGTGCTCAAACCTCAAGTCCTTCAAGTTGTTGTTAAATATCTATATTTTTTAAAAGTTGTACTAAAAAGTGCTTGTCCACCACTGCTTTCTGATATTCAAAACTGGCTGTCAAGTCAAAAAATCAAGTCAACTTTTCTCTGCTAAATAAAAGAAAAAGGTCATTGCAAAAAGTACCATACAACTTAAACACATGAAACCTTTGTTGTTAATATACAGTCCATACATACTCAGAACAAGCCTCAGCCTTGATCTAAAATGAGGAAGCAGTTGCACCACTCAGTTGGTGACATTGATGAGGCTTTAGTTTTCTTTGGCCCACTGAGAAATCTTCCTGGGTTCTTTCAATATGCAGAATTCCCAGTCACCTCAAAGTACTTACACTTTCATGTTGGGATTGATTTGTGTCAAGGATGTATTATGCCTTTACATGCTACGTACTTTTATTTACTCTGGGTATGTTAGTACTTAGTAGTACAAGAGAGACTGACAGCTTCTTTGTGAAGATTATGTAGAAGGCATATGAAGATGAAAAGTATAATCAATATTTAGCCTTTCTGTGCTTCTGTGTGTGCAATGTAAACACACACCTGCTCTAATTATGGGGGTTGCCTTTAGGCAAAACAGTGCATGATTTAGAAGTGAGCAGAATAGGATGTTATTGAGACTTCTTAAGAAATCAACACTCTTGGCAAAATGACTATAAATTATTTATAGTCATTTCCCCGTGTGCATCTCATGAACACAGCAGAAGACAATTCCTTGTTCCCTCTTCCTCAGATAGGTAGCTGTAATTGACTTCTCCCCACCGAGCAAACTTCTTTGAACTTTTCTTCACAGCTTTGAGATAGCTTTACAGATAAAGATCAAAGGCTTGGTGCCTTGAATGGATGGTTTGGTGTCACAGGTTACCACCTGCAGCTCCAAACTTCCTTCTATCCCATCATGAAGGCCATTGCAGGGGATGGGTTACGATAAGCACCCAGAGTGGATGAGGAGCTGTAGCCCCCTATCTTGGACCAGCAGCAACTAAAGTCATTTATCTGACTGCACCTCAAGAATTCAGCTCTGTCTTTATGCATGTAACAGCCATTGAAAACACCAGCCCCAACCCAGCCTGTATTTTGTTGCAAAGGACTTCACTCTCGCTGTTCCAGGTAGCATCTGATATAGGGGTGTGCTCACATGGAAATCTGAAGCATCTGAAGGCGGTCCAATGAGAGGAATTAGATGCTTTCTGTATTTGGGCATTTGCTTTTGCTTTCTACTGAGGAATTGGAAGGGAGGTGAAAGGGAGTACAGTTTGTTTATATCATTTAATTGGGTTTGTCTTAGATGCACAAAACTGGCAGAAATATGAAAATACATCTTATGAAGACACCCAGTCCACCAAGATCCACATTGTTCCACAGAGATCACATCAGGAGCACTGTATTCATAAAAGCCTTTCGAGGGAAAGGGGGTCCTTTTCTTTTTTGTTAAATTAGTTTGAGAAGATAGTTCAAGATAAAAGCTTCAAGCTTTTCAAAATCTCAAGTGGTACTTAAACAAATCCCCTTCTAGGTAAACAGGTTCTTCCTACAAAAGCAAGCATGAGTCTTCCCCTTTGTCCAGAAACAATAGCTTTCTTTCTTATTTTGGTCACCTGCATAGCCGTTTACAAAACTGAAGGCTAATAGAAACACAAAACAAAGACCAGCTGGGGTGTAGTGGAATAATTGTGCTGCGAGAAGCCATAAAGGAGGGGTCTTTGGATGCTGTTCCTTCTTTAGTTTCATATTTTAATGTGTTTTTTTTAAATTAACGGAGGTAACTGTATTTTTAATTTTCTGTTCTTTGAGTTGTGGGTTTTATCTTCTAATAACTTAGCTTTTGTTCTGCAAATTCCAGTATACTTTTCCTCATTTTCTGTTTTGTGGTTCTTTTCTATAAAACTATAGCTGAAGCAGGTGGGTATTTTTGGGGATGTTCTTGTTTTAAGTTTAAATTTGTACTTACTGAATTGTATTCTAGGTTTCCAATGCTAAGCGTTTGAATTTGCTTGGGAAAAACAAAGACAAAAACAAAAAAAAAACCCCACAAACAAACAAAAACCTCCAAGAAACAACTACTTTTTGTTTTAATGTGATCTGTTATGCTGCCTTTCTTAAGATAAAAATGAGTGCTACACCTACCTACAGTCTTACTTTAAGTGAATGGACATAGTAATGATCTTCAGAAAATGTGGCTTTCTAGGCACACAACTACAGGTTGTCCTGTCAGTGAGAAAGAGATGTGCCCAAAAAGGTATAAGAACTGCAAGTGGAGTGCAAACTGTCTGATTCACGGTGGGATTAATTTTTTAAATTTTTATTA